TCATATATATATATATATATATATATATATATATATATATTTTTATAATACTTGATAATCTTTATATATATATATATATATATATATGTATTGATTTATTTATATATATATGTATATATATTTATATATATATTTATGGATATATATATATCTTTATATATGTATATGTGGTTTTTCTTCATAAATCCTCCATTGATGCTTTTAATTGAGTAAAATTTAACTTTGTATTTTCCAGTAATTTTTCACAGAAAATCCGAAAATTCATGAACTAATCCTTAGAATGAAGTGTTCTTACAGGAAGCTGATAGATAGATAGATAGATAGATAGATAGATAGATAGATAGAAAATTTGTTCGCATATATTTATGTGTGTATATGTGTGTTTATTTTTTGTAAAGTGTAAATATTTGAACTTATCTTTGAATCGATATTTCTGTAAATATATACATTTGAATTTTTGTAGTAAATTAATTTGCTTATTATAGGTCCTATATATTATTAAAAGGCGTATGTGTTGTCTTTACTCAGAAAGGATGCACCTGCTATGGTTCACGTTTGTGTGAAGGAATAAATAACTTCTCTCTTCTAATTTACAAATCTTAAATCTGAATGAAATGCGCTTTGTAGTCTTCTTAGAGATCTAGGAACTATTTGTCAGACATTGTACTAGCAAAAACAAATTACTTATATACACGTCTTTTTTGTTTTTGTTTTATTTTTTAAATAGTTCAGTATAAAAAGTGTAATTTTTTTATATTTCTACGGATAAAAATGTAATTAGAATAAAGTATATTAAGATTAGATTAAAAAAAGCTATAATTCCTATTTAAGTATATATATATATATATATATATATATATATATATATATATATATATATATATATATATCTATATATATTTATATATTTATATACATATATGTCTGAATGTGTATGATATATTAGAATCAGTGACAAACCGTAAAGAATTTACTTAGATATGTATACTTATATTTTGATTGCACGCGCATTATACACTGTTATAAAGAAAAACCACGCTATAAGTATATATAAATACGAAAGCGTTTATGTTAATATATACATATATGAAGGAATATATATATATATATATATATATATATATATATATATATATATATATGTATATATATATATATATATATATATATATATATATATATATATATATATATATATATATACGATATATGTGTGTGTGTGTGTGTGTATATGTGTGTGTGTGTGTGTGCGTGTTTGTGCGTCTGTGATTGAGAGTAAATAAATATAAGAAAGCGAATAACAGTGGAGACTGTAGTAAATTCTTCAATTCACTCACTTTTCTTCTTTCAATTTTTTAAAGCTTTTTTGGCAAAAAATCTGTATCTGTATTCCAGGGTAAATTTCAGATACATACATACAAACATGCATACATACATACATACATACATACATACATACATACATACATATATGCATATATATATATATATATATATATATATATATATATATATATAAATATAAATATATATATATATTTATATATATATATATATATATATATATATATATATATATATATATATATATATATATATATATATATATTATATTTTATATTTATATATATATATGTATGTATGCATTTTCTCGTTTAAGTTTATTCCATTTTGTAATCCCGGCTGCCTGGTAGAATCCGAAATAATATATTTATTCGAGTTTTTGTAACGATGTTTATCTTGTATTTTTTTTTTTTTTATCTCCGTGTCATTATTTTCGTGCCGGCTTCATTTTGAAATGTTTTTATCCCATTATTATTAATATTATTATTATTATTACTGTTAATTTTTATTAGTTTTCTATTTATTATTATTGTTATTATTGGTTGGAATGGGAGAAGCGATGACCGTGCACACTTGTCCGCTATATCCTCGTCAGCAGAAAGAAAAAATACAAGCGGAGGTTTTGAAAAGTTTGACAAAAATCTCTTCTTCCTTTCCATTCACTTGCCAAGTGAAAGACTCAACACACACGTGATCCTGGCTTTCAAATAACTTCACTCTTCTCAGTGTAAGCAGTTCTTAAGTACTGTGTGCGTATGTTTTAACAGAGATCGTGTTAGTGTCAATAGATGTGCCGGTGTGTTTTTAACAATTTCCTCGTGAAGGAGTACTGCTCATCACACTATTAATTTATTGATATTTACGTGCAAATTAGTCACAGGTATTATGAACGATATGGATTTGACGGATTAACTTGTTTATTCTCTCTCTCTCTCTCTCTCTCTCTCTCTCTCTCTCTCTCTTCTTTTTAAAATTTGAATAGCTGAGAAACACGTGTGTGCTGTTGAAGGCATTCATAAAATTACGCGCGTTTTATTCACTTTCTTCTAGATTTGATGTGTGACGCACACAAGTCACCTCATCGAGGCTAACAACTGTGAATGATATTCTCGTGAAGGCTTCAGGATTTTCCAAAATAAATAAATAATATATAAATAACAATTTCAATGTATATATTTACAAAGCCAAGCCTCACGATATATATATACACAGTTCTTATAATAATAACAACAAAAACAACAATAATAATAATAATAATGATAATAATAATAATAATTGTCTTGGAGATTTCAGGTGACTAACTCTTCATATTTGATTTCCATTAATAAAGAGAGCGAAATTGCGTAAAATGATTACTTTCTAAACAACAACAAAAAAATAAAATAATAATTCTGGTGTTTGTTTTTTGTGGGTGCAGTTTTTTTTGGGGGGGGGGTTCTCCTTACTTTCCGTGGTTATTTTTTTCTTTTTGGTGGCGGGGGAGAGAATACTTTTTTCACAATGCTTATCATTTTAGCAACATATATTTTTGAGTACGAAAGGGATTTATAAAGTTCTTTGTGAATTTTTTTTTTTTTCAAGAAAAATATCGAAAATGAAATGTGTAAAAAAAAAAAAGAAAGGAACAGACAACAATCTTTGAACGCGACACTCTCATGATATTCAAACACACACACACTCGTTCGCGCGGGCACACACACATACACACGTGCTCGCCCGCACAAACGCACTGACTCACTCACTATCTAAAACAACAGCGTACCCGAAGATTCAACTGTGTGTCTGCATATATTTTTACGCTTTTGTGGGTGATTGCATTTGAAGTGCATGTTTACATTTCAGATAGAGACTTTTTCCACGCCCAGGTTTTTTTCTTTTTTCTTTTTTTTGGCTTTTTCTTCTTAATGGTAACATGGATTCTTTTTCATGGGAATAAGTGCTGCACTTGAGTGTGTGTAAGTGGTTGCTACAAAAATACTTTCAGTCGTACATTAAGTTACGCGTTTCTCTTATTTATTTTTGTTTTTTGTTGTTTTTTTTTCTTTTTTTCTCAGACACGGCGCGTATAGTTCGCGCCACATTGGACGTAAATTCCGCAGAACGTGTATGCGGGTGTCGTCTAGGTAGTAGTGTTTCTTACGCGACCTGCTTCACGGCTAACTCTTACTACCTCTGTCTTCTACAACCAATGTCTTTTCCGCACCTTTTCGTCTCTTTCACTTCCATTTATTCAGTTTATCTGTTCCGTCTTCAAACATGTTCGTCTCCAGGGTTCTTCCTTAACGGTTTGTCTTTTTCCATGTGTTTCATATTTAACTTGTGGTTGTTCTCGAATTTTGCGTATATGTCTTGTGATTAAGGTAGCCGCTCGTAAGACCGTTTCCACAGACACACATTTCTTTCTTTCTTTCTTTCTTTCTTTCTTTCTTTCTTTTATTTCTTTCGAAATGATTTGATTTTCTTGCCCAAATCTTTCGTTATTTCAGCTGATTTCTTTCAAGCGCATTTGGTCATTATTTTCCTTTGTTTCTTCCAGGCTCTCTCTCTCTCTCTCTCTCATTGTCTTGGTCTCTTCAGATCTATCTATCTATCTATCTATCTATCTATCTATCTATCTATCTATCTATCTATCTATCTATCTATCCCAGTTTGTTTCTTTCTATCTATCTATCTATCTATCTATCTATCTATCTATCTATCTATCTATCTATCCCAGTTTGTTTCTATCTATCTATCTATCTATCTATCTATCTATCTATCTATCTATCTATCTATCTATCCAAGGCCGGTGCGTACTACCCACGACCCCCCACCCTTTAAGCAAGCCTGATTCGGGCCTCAAGCAGTGCATTGTGATCCACGCTTACTTATCAAAATAAACAAAGCACAAATATCATTGAATTATGACATTTTTCGCGGATTTTTACGTAATTCTGGATACATTTTTTTGCTTTTTTCTCTCCAAATCCGTAAATTTGTTTTGCTCATGCTAAGTGTCGAAAAAAACACTATATAAAATTCACTATTTTTATCCATAATGTTGAATGTGTGAAAATTATTCATTTACTTAACAAGAAATACTGCTGATTTATTTAATATGAAATGATCTATTATGACATATCACTAATATGTTTCATGATATATTTATTTTCCATTTTCTAGTTGAGTTGTTCATCTATATTACATATGATCCATTATTGTACATAATTATTAGATTATAATAAAATCTGTATTTTATAGGAACACTAACCTATGAAATTTGAAATGTACTAGAGTTGGGGGACTCGTATCAAATTCAGGTCCTCTTTGCAACGGCCCTTTAACTATCTGAAAATGATTATCTATCTCATTATGATCCTATCTATCTATCTATCTATCTAATTTTGATCCTATCTATCTATCTATCTAATTTTGATCCTATCTATCTATCTATCTATCTATCTATCTATCTATCTAATTTTGATCCTATCTATCTATCTATCTATCTATCTATCTATCTATCTATCTATCTATCTATCTGTCAGTCTGTTTATAGTCTATGTGAATCTCTTCCTATTCATTACGCATTTTCTTTTATAATTTTTCACCAATTTTTTATGCTTTTTTGCATATTCCTTTCAAGCAACCATGCGCCTTTGTTCGTCTACAAACACACACACACACACACATACACGAACACACACACACACGTGTACAAACACACACGTGTACAAACACACGTATATATTTATATGCAAGCAAATCATTATTTCATCTCTGACACATGCAACTCAAAACATACACTTTCTTTCTTCCTTTCTTTCTTCCTTTCTTCCTTTCTTTCTTTCTTTCTTTTCTAGCCGGGAATATTTCGTCAGCGTATTTTGTCTTTATTTCATCTGTTTCTTTTCCTTTCTTCTTTCCTTTCTAGTATTTTCATTTTTCCCTCTTTTTACGTATTTATTTGTCTGTTCTCTTTCTCGTTTTCCTTTCTCACCGATTTTCATGGATCAGTCACGTCTATCAGACATTATTCTCTCCTTCTATTCTTTATTTTGATTAATTTCATATTTATTATTGTTTCTCTTTCTTCCTTTGTTTTTTGTTTTGCTCTCTCTCTCTTTAATACGTCGCACGAAATTTTCTTTCTTTCTTTCTTTAATTCTACTTTGATCTCTTAACTTTAACTTTCTCTCTGTGCCTTCTTCCTTGTCTTTCAAAAGCCATTGACACTTTCCTCTATTCTCCTCACGTCATTCTTCCGCTCTTTTTGTTACCGCTTCCCATCCCTTTTTTCAGCACCCCCTCCCCCTAATCAACTCTGCACGTTACTCACTGCGTGGTCTCTCAACTAAGTGTGCGCATCACACTTGTAAGTGCACCTTTTCTGGGTAGAAATATGGGCAACTCTTGTTCCGCGCATGCGCGTGCGTCTGCGCAAACACGCATTTACAGGCAAAGGAGAATTCCAAATAGAGAGACAGACATAAACAAATAGATAAACGGACGGAAAAGATGTCTATATGCATATTCATAAAATGCAGTACATATTATATATTAAATAGCATAAATGTGCTGAATGACAGGAGCGAGAAAATAGCGTTACATCAGGCTACCTTGTGGGAGTAGCCTTAAGCGAATATCGGCAATGAAGAGGTCGGCCTTCATCTAAGCTCGAACACCGGTATCTCGCGTCGGCAGTAGACACATAGCTAATATGTCTTGAGTAAATGTAGACTGATAACAGACTTAGATAATTAACAGGCACTGACAGACAGACAGATAGATAGATAGATAGATAGATAGATAGATAGATAGATAGATAGATAGATAGACCAGGAATTAACTGGCTTAGATAATTAACATATTTAGACAGGAAGGCAGACAGATAGATAGATTGATAGATATATACATAATTAGATTGATAGATACATAATTAACATTAATATTAACTTACATAATTAAGAGTCATAGACAAACAGATAGATAGATAGATAGATAGATAGATAGATAGATAGATAGATAGATAGATAGAAAGAAAAACAAGGAATTAACTGACTTAGAAAATTAACATATTTAGACAGGAAATCTGGCAGATAGATAGATAGATAGATAGATAGATAGATAGATAGATAGATTATTAACATTAATATTAACTTATATAATTCACATTCTGAGATAGATAGATAGATAATTAACATTAACTTATATAATTAATAGTCATAGACAAACAGACAGACAAATAGATAAACAATAGATAGATAGATAGATAGATAGATAGATAGATAGATAGATAGATAGATAGATAGATATGAAGAAAATAATATGCTTGCAAGCAAACTAAAATTCAAAGAAAATAAGTTCAAAGAAACTGACATGGATATCTAGATTTGAATAGACAAAAATAAAGATCTGCACAGTAAATTATCATTGTGTAGAGACACATGTGATTGGGAGAAAGTATTTCTTTGTTTCTATACACTTAGATTATTTGCGTTTGATAGGACATTATGCGTATCTAAATATATGCGTTTATCTTTATAGATGAAAGTTTTGACAAAGGGAAATCTGTTAAGCATATTAAAGTATTAAAAAAATAGTAATAAACACCAGAACAATGAACAAGAGATGGATAAATTCACAACTTTAACGAAATCTCTGCCGTTCTCTTTTTGCTCGTAACCAAAAATCAGTCATCAATAATGAGGCAATTTGTTAGGAGAATACAAAAAAAAATGAATAAAAAATTTAGCTAAATCGAAGACAATTTTCCACATCTTAACACGAAATGAATCGAGAAAATCTGTACTTGATTCGATTCAATGCATCAAATGCATCAAATTTTGCTCCTCCATAGTTATTTAGAGCAAGCGTTAACTGCTGTCATTACTTCAAATAAATAATGAACCAATTCGAGCTGGCTGCAAAAAATATCGTAAGAAAAATATGTCACACACGCTGCTCGGCTTTCTCAATCAAAACTATCATACATGAAAATAATAAATACAATGAAGGTCGAGAAGGCGAGAACATTATGGATCCTTACGTTTTAACCTCTTACTTCCTTAAATAATGATCTGCATTCATAATTAGGAACATTATTGCAATATTTTGATAAAGGTACTAAGTTCAAATTGTAGAAAAATCCCGTGGTCGAGATAAACACTCAGTTGTGGAGCAAGCTAAGTGAATAATAATTCAACCTTGAGAAAGAGAGCTATTTATGGTGCCATGGAGAATCTCATTGTGCTAAAGTGGGATAGTCCATTACTTGGGCTGAGTGGAGGTATTCTATATAAATACCAGCTTGATTCATCAGTTAGTTTGCAGGGTTTGTATTAAGTTACAACCTGCTTTATATTTGTCTGCCAGCTGGACGCTAGCTTGGACCCTTACGCCGGTAAGTGCTGTTTATTGTATTGTTATTCTACATCTCCTTCCCCACAACGCGCGTGGGTAGTGGCCTTTGGGGAGGGATGAGTTCCTTTAAACCTGGCTGGTTGTGTGGAAGTAGTCTGGACAATGCCCGAGGGGGTTTTGTCCGTGTTATTGTAGACGGCTGAGCAGTGTTTGATGTTATTTCCATCGGCGATTTCATTAGACTCTGGGCACAACAGGTCAGGTCATTGAAACCCTCCCCAACAACCAATACAGTATCAGAGTTGACGGATCAGGTAGAATTACCTTACGAAATCGCCGATTCCTAAGGAAACTGGATACACCAACAATTCCAGTTCCAAGACCTAGTGCATTACCTGAGACCCCTACACCAATGCCACAAACATTCGACGCTGTAATAACATCAAACACTGTTCAGCCGTCTACAATAACACGGACAAAACCTCCTCGGGCATTGTCCAGACTACTTCCGCACAACCAGGCAGGTTTAAAGGAACTCATCCCTCCCCAAAGGCCACTACCCACACGCGATGGGGAGAAAGGAGTTTTTTGGGGGCGCGTTCGAAGTTGTCCCTCGACTTTGCATTGTTTAGGGCTCGTCTCTTATTTTTTTATGTGTGCTTGTCGAGGGCATGTGTTGCATTGCTGTTTGGGGTAATATTGTAGTCGCCGGGTTCTGGAAGTCTTTCGACAGTATAGAAAGGAGATGTAGAATAATAATTCAACCCTGAGAAAGAGCTATTTATGGTGCCATGGAGCATCTCATTGTGCTAAAGTGGGATAGTCCATTGCTTTGGCTGTGATTGGCTGCTGGTACCTGAGTGGAATTATTTCTATATAAATATCAGCTTGATTCATCAGTTAGTTTGCAGGGTTTGTATTAAGTTACAACCTGCTTTATTTTTGTCTGCCAGCTGGACGCTAGCTGGGACCCTTAAGCCGGTAAGTGCTGTTTATTGTATTGTTATTCTACACAAATATTTAACAATGTAATAAAGGAAGTTCCATGTTTTTTTATAGCCTTCGAACACAAAACAAGCTTATGCAATTGTTGTAGGATACATACGGACAATAATAGATTTGTCCCCAATCACATAAATACAGTAGTAAATACTGCACGCTAGTCTGCAGTTGGAGATTCGTCTCAAGCTGTGCTGGTCGAACTCTCTGCCACAGGGCAGAGAGGATTTCTAGACGAGGCTATGTCGAAGGGCAGAGTCTCGTCTCAGGAATCAGCTAAACGACCCTGCGGAGAATATTTGGCTGAGCCTACGGACTCGGATACCCCACACTAAATTCGGCATTGTGATTCATCTGACCGCGTCGGGCCCTTGGTAGATATCCTGTAGTTGGAGATTCATCTCCAGATGTGCTGGACAAACTCTCTGCCTCCGGGAAGAGAGGATCTACAGACGAGGCTATGTCGAATGGCAGAGCCTCGTCTCGGGAAACAGCTACCCGACCTCGTTTTATACGGAGAATTTTTGGCCGAGCCTACGGACTCATATACCCCACATTAAATTCGGCCTTGTGCCACATCTTACAGCGTGGGGCGGTTGGTAGATATCCTGAAGTTAATGATTCATTGTACAATTCACTTGACTGACTTCTAATAATTGACTACTTCTTCTACACGCCGCTGGCGAATCTTATACGTGCTGTTTGTGTCCTAAGTATTATCGTTCATTACTAACCTTCTTGTGATTATTCTCTTCAGTAACCTGTCCTAGGTTACAGCAGCAATCATACAATTAAGAATTAAAAAAAAAACATTTAAATAGAAAAGCAGTGAAATCTTCAGGGTTACTTCTAGTATTCCTTGCTACAAACAGAATGGAACCTAGACATATTGTAGCAATGCAACGCTACTGTGTGACATGGTTGAATGATGTATTTGAAAGGGAAAATACTTTTTTAAGCAACGATGTCGATCAGTGGATGTTTTGAGCGAGAAAGACAGCTTCAGTTTGCAAATGGCAAAGACGCAAACAAACACATGGATAGGAATTGCTCCCATACCCGACGTATTCTACAGACGTGCCGCTTCCCAGGGAACATTCCTCGCCTGGTCAGTGGTTGATATGCGTTATAGATATTAATACTGAAACAAAGCGATCCTCAAATAAAAGCCCGAATCGATCGTTTTGATGAAATTCACAAATATTTGAAGGTTGTGATATGCTGCGAGAGAGAGAGAGAGAGAGAAAAGAGAGAAAGAGAGAGATAGAGAGAGAGAGAGAGAGAGAGGGGGGAGAGAAAAAAAGAGAAAAGAACACAT